CCTATCAGAAAACAACTACTCCCCTGGCTAATACCACGAAGGGCGTTGGATTATATCCGACAGGCGTCAGTGCAGGAATCTTCACAGAAAATTTCCTGCATATGCAATTGGCAATACAGCTGATCGGGCACACTTGCAGACCAGTTTCGGGCTCATTAGCCCGAAATTGAAGGTCGACTCTTTCAGTTGTATTGCCAATTGCATATGCAGGAAATTTTCTGTCAAAATTCCTACACTGACGCCTGTCGGATATAATCCAACGCCCTTCGTGGTATTAGCCAGGGGTGTAGTTGTTTTCTGATAGGCGTCAGTCCATTCAACATTCAACCTACTGTGTAGGTATATTCGACTGGCTTGAACGTTTAAAGTTCATTTCTTTAGATAGCCTTTTCTGAAAAAAATATTGGATCATTAAACCTGTTAACTGGTAGTATTATTATTTACAACCACAGTGAGATACTTTTAACAGGTAAAGCTAGTCGAAGATGTTACCATCATATACGTCCAGTAAATTCACGACCTATTTGAAATTGGTCAACGTCTTACCGCTCTTCATGACAAATTTTCTGCCAAGGTCACTATTTTGATTACTTTTTGAACAATCCTTGTATAGTACATAACAAATCAATTCAAATAGCATAAAAACTAAATAGATACCGAACACGTCGGCAGTTTCTTTGTATAAATTAATTCTATTTTTCATAAACCTACACGGATTTGTTTTTATTATTAGTTAAAGGGTAATGTACATAATCTTTTATTTAGCTGTTCGGATTGACTTCGTATAGACTATACGTGCAAACTTTAAAAATACACTGCAAGTATTTTCTTAAAAAAAAAGGGAAACCAACAATTTGCAATAACTCTCACCTGAAAACTTTTTGTTTCAAGAAGTGTTATCAAATATTCAACAGTTGTCCGAAAGTCTCCCCTAATTGACAACTCCTTCAAAGCGATAACTAAATTCTCTCGTGCCTGTTCCCTATTCTCGCCCCAAGAAAAACAATGGCCAAACTGAGAATCAGCAAATTCGTGTAGACCTCCAGAAGCAGCAACAGAGAAGTACCCCCAAACATTTTTTGATGATCTGAAGTTCAATTCTTGCACTGTACCTGAACTCGGTTTGAAACCTATAAAAAAAAAAAACAGATTCAATACGATGAGAAACACTGTTTTAATATTTTGTAGGTTAATCCTCCGGTAACATCGGATTGGTCGTAGGCCAAACCGCAATAAATGAAGTTTTTCAATGAGATTAGAACACACGAACAATATAATTAATAATATTCATTCACCAGTTGCGATACATAGTGTATATATGGTAGGCCAAAAATGAGTAATTGAATAAAAAACAACTGGTTTGAGAAGTACGTCACTTATTGAGATAAAAAAAAATTGAAATCTAATTTGATATCTGCATATAGAATTGTTGAGAGAGCTCATACCATACCAAAAAGTGCATATTATAACTGCTTCGAGAATTGAAAAAAAGGCTGACACAAGTGTATTATATCCGAGAACGACTACTTTGGAGAGGGCAAAATAGAAATTGATGAATATTTTTTGGGAAAAATGTAAATTCACCTTATTTTTTCAACGGACTCCGTACTACTGATCCTCACCAGCACCGTAATGTTAGTTCATTGCAGAATTCTAGCTGGAAAATTGTGGATTTACATAACTTTTTCAAACGCGCAAAAATTAATAGCAAAAACCGTTCCCTCTTCCTTTTTTTGAACCAAATGACGCCGGCCATAATTAGCGTGGCAGTGGCATTTATTCAATGTAATCAGAAACCCCTGTTCTTTCTTATATTTATACTTTCTCAGCAAACACAAGTCTCAATATTACACCTTTTTCTATCAAGTGATTGAAGTAGAAAAAAAATTTCAAATGATTTTTTTACCTTCGTCTGGATTTTCTGAAGTTATTCTCGCAGCTATAACATGGCCCCACGGCTGGGGTTTGTGTCTGGGCTGATCAAAGTCTATCTCAGTCATTCCTTTTAGATAGTTTATGTTACTTTNATTCCCTTGTATTTACATATTTAAATGCTTATTATACATCCACGATAATTTAACAAAATATAACACAAATTCTTCTTACCACAGTTACTCAACCAGAAATGGAAAATTGTTAAGTATTCCTAGACACAGATCCTCTAAATTTGAACAGTCACCCAAATATATGGGAATAAAATTATTCAATCACCTACCTGATCACTTTAAAACCATGAGTTTGATGTCATTTAAAAGAGAAGTTAAAAATTTGCTCCTGTCTAAGGCTTATTACAGTGTCAGTGAATTCCTTTTAGACGACTTTAGCTGATTGCGATCCAGACTTTCATCCAGATTTCATTATTTTATTATACATCCAATTTTGACTAATCTTGTTTTTTTTTCTTTATATTTTATACATTTTATACTTTAAAACTACTGAGATATTTTATCTTAATGTATGTTTATTTTCTATTTTAACGTGTTGTACTGACATGTCCTATACGTTGTTAACGTCTCAAAGGATAAATTATTATTATTATTATTATTAATGTGAATGTTCAAATTAGGAGGGATACGTATATTCGATTAGCGGTTTTTATTTTTTTTTATGTTGGTACACTTGTCTCGAACATATGTTCACAGTTTCATCTGTTTAGCATGTTTAGTTTCTTTGTGAGAGGGCATGTGTTTTGCGTGTTCGGCGATTTTCTGCTATAGTAAAAAATGGATAAGAAAATTTTCATCAAATTTTATGTAGAAACTGGATGGAAACAACTGATGGAAATGTTGAGGAAGTGAAGAAAATTGTTATGGAAATCGTCGAATGACTATTAGGGAAGTTGCTGAAAATGTCGGCATATCGGTTGGCTCACGACATGCACTTTTTTCGGAAATGATGGGCATGAAGCGCGTGGCATCAAAGTTCGTTCCAAAATTGCCGAATTTTGACCAAAAGAACCTTCGCATGAGCATCGTTGTTTCCAAGATCCATGGAAGGACGGTGTTTTGCAACGATTGAGGAGACATAAAGCGAATTGTTGAGAGAGCTCATACCATACCAAAAAGTGCATATTATAACTGCTTCGAGAATTGAAAAAAAGGCTGACACAAGTGTATTATATCTGAGAGCGACTACTTTGGAGAGGGCAAAATAGAAATTGATGAATATTTTTTGGGAAAAATGTAAATTCACCTTATTTTTTCAACGGACTCCGTACTACTGATCCTCACCAGCACCGTAATGTTAGTTCATTGCAGAATTCTAGCTGGAAAATTGTGGATTTACATAACTTTTTCAAACGCGCAAAAATTAATAGCAAAAACCGTTCCCTCTTCCTTTTTTTGAACCAAATGACGCCGGCCATAATTAGCGTGGCAGTGGCATTTATCCAATGTAATCAGAAACCCCTGTTCTTTCTTATATTTATACTTTCTCAGCAAACACAAGTCTCAATATTACACCTTTTTCTATCAAGTGATTGAAGTAGAAAAAAAATTTCAAATGATTTTTTTACCTTCGTCTGGATTTTCTGAAGTTATTCTCGCAGCTATAACATGGCCCCACGGCTGGGGTTTGTGTCTGGGCTGATCAAAGTCTATCTCAGTCATTCCCCATGGGGATTCTCCATACAACAATCTGATATCTTTGATATAATGAAGAGGCAAGCCCATAGCAATCTATAAAAAACTAATTATACAACATCTGCTAAATATTAATTAATTTACAATCAAACCTGAAGCTGGGCTGCTGGTAGGTTCACATCGGAAACCATCTCAGTACAAGGATGTTCCACCTGCAGACGGGGATTCAATTCCAAAAAGTAGTAATGCCCAGAGGGGTCATATAAATACTCCACAGTCCCTGCGGAAACATAACCCACCATTTTTGCCAGCCTAACAGCAGCCTAGGATAACAAATGAACATATTTCTACTTCGTATTTGACATTTGACAGGAAAATATGAAATAAAAAAGTTGAAAATATTTACCATACCCTTTCCATATCTTCAAAAATATCGGGTTCAGCTATAACTGCTGGAGCTTCTTCGATGATTTTTTGATGTCTCCTCTGAATTGAACAGTCACGGCCAAATAATGAAATGGCATTACCATACATATCTGCTAAAAGTTGTACTTCCAAATGTCTGGCACATTTGGCAAGTTTCATTACAAATATTGGAGATCCCGGTATTTCTGTTTGTACCTGGAGCAATATTCATCCATTTTATCAGTTAGCATTATTCATATTTCTTTTATATAGTATACAAGTCCGAACAGAAACTAGTTTTCTATTAAAAACACTTATCCCAAACCACAACAAAATATTACAGCTTGACACGAGTTTCGTTAACCAAGTTAACATCATCAGGGCCTGACAAAATTTCCTGATGCTAACTTTTTGGGTTGTTTCAAAAGTTTTGTCTGTTTTTATGAGTCTACTTTAAACTGTAATATCTCCAAATACTGTTTCGATATAAGCGCCATTTGAGTCAGTGCACTTTTGCTAGTGAAAAGATGGTAGTCGATTGACGAGAGGTCTGGGGAGTATGGTGGGTAAAGCAAAACTTCAACGCTCAATTTTCGAACGGTGATTTATGAAACTTGCGGACAGAGCGTCGTTGTGGGGCAGGATCGGATGTCTTCTGTTGACCGGTGTCGGTCGATTTCCTCACAATACGACTCTGCCCGCTTGCAGAAAGCTATAGAAAATCACATCAGCCGCTGACCACCATGGTCTATTTTGATGGGTTTTCCCCTTTAAGAAGTGCCATACCACTGTTGATGGGTCAATCTCCACCAGGGTACTCAAATTCTCGTCCTGGATTACTGTAGGTCGACCACTTCGGGTCTTATCTCTAATTTGTAAGAACGTCATCTAACTCGGACGTGGGAGAAATAAATTGTGGAGTACCTCAAGGCTCTGTGTTAGGTCCTATACTGTTTCTGTTATACATTAATGATTTGACCAACATATCGATTACAGGAAGCTTTACCTTATTTGCTGACGACACCACATTAGTGTGGCATGACAAGGACAAAAACAGATTGCATAACAAAATGTGCCAAGACATGAAAAAAGTGAAGAATTGGTTTGACTCGAATCTTCTATCATTGAATACTAGC